ATTTACAAAGCAAAGCCAACAACAGAAGAGGAATAATTGCTCTAGAAAAACTTCTCTCCTTTTGCTCTGTTCAGTGATATGTTAGCTCATACAAGCACACCAAAACAGGACTAGGTGTTGGCTTTGAAATAGTATAAACATCTTTTTAAAAAACACCTCCTGGGAGCTGCAGTATGGCTGGAAAGTGTTATCATTTTGCAGTGATATTTTAGAACCTGGATTGGCAGTGCTTTGCAGTGGGTAGCTGCTTCAGTGGAGCTAAGCTCTAAGCACAGGACACCTCCAAATTGGCCTGCTCCACCAGAGTCCCTGCTTCCCCCTGCAGTGTTGCCACCACTGTTTCTCTCCCTGCCACGAAGGCAAAGCCATCCTCCCCCCTCAAATGCACACACACTATAGAAATGCCACTGAAGCCCTCCCCCCCACCCCCAAAATGCCGCAGAAGCACATTGCTCCATGGGCTGGATAAAATGGCTTTGTGGGATAGATGTGGCTTATGGGCTATAGGTTGCCAACCCCTGTTTTAGATGCATCTGTGTCAATGAGTTTTAATCTCTTGTCAATGAGTTATAATCTTTCTAGGGCAGGGGTGGCCAACCTGTGGCTACAGAGCCACATGCAGCTCTTCAGAAGTTAATATGTGTCTCCTTGAATCTGCGCAAGCACATGGTGACCAGCTTCCATTTGGTTCCATTTGGAAGCTGGTCACCGTATGCTTGTGCAAAGATTCAAGGAAGATGCATATTAACTTCTGAAGAGTCACATGCAGCTCTGGAGCTGCAGGTTGGCTACTCCTGCTCTAGAGTATTGGTTGGCAGAACACAGGAACACTCTTCCAATTGCTCAAATGATTCACAAGTTTTCTCAACTTTTTTAATGGGTCTGAATTGGATGGAAGCAGGTTTATGTTGCTCCATCTCCCTACTGTATTGTTACTTTCCAGCAAGATGCCAGCTGCACTGCAGAGGCTCAAAGTACAGCTCTCCAGTGAGAAGTTTTCCTAATGAGAATGTGCAGAGAAGTTTTCTGAGCATCACAGCTGGGTCAGCCTTTACTTTTTCTTCTCTAGCTCAGGCCTGGTGTCATTTTTGCTAGAATGATAAAATACTATTGGTTTTGCATGTTGGTCCTGGCACCCACTGTTTGTAAAGGGACAGCAAATGATTTCTCTAACATTCTTGACTTACAAAGCCAAAGCAAAAGGCTCAATATAAAGTTTACTTGTAGCAGGGTAGTTGGCCACCTTGAAATTATAAATGAAGTTTTAATTGAGTAATGCCAACTTGGCACCATCTTAAATTCTCTTAAAGAATTGAGTTCTGCAAACAGGGGTATGCCAGTAATTAAATTTCCTATAGCTAAACAATTTTTCTTTTCCCAGTAATAGGAGAAACCCAAATAAGAGGAAACTGACAATAGAGGATTTTCAGTGGAATTGCTCGTATTAATTGCTGTCAATGTAAAGTGAAGTATGGAGAGAGATTCTTCCTTTGAACTGTCAGTGATCTCTTCAGGGAGATGTGTAACAATAAGTTAGAAATTCAGACAAATATGAATTCTGATTTGTCCTTTGATTAGCTCTCAATTTTTGCCACACATCTTCAAATCCATGAAAATGTTTAAATAACTCTGACACACTATTTTCCCCTGTTATCTGTAATGTCTTATGTAGTTCTTTTAAGAGAGAATGTGTGACACAGGCATGTCTCTTTAACCGATAAAATAGGACCGATAAGAATGATAACACTGCCTTGGGCATTTTCTTTAATTCAAAGGTATTTAAATATAGCTTTTATCCTAAAGATTTTCCTGATTTTTTTTTTTTTTTTTTTTTTTTTTTTTTTTTTTTTTTTTTTTTCCAGTAAAAAAATTACTAGCAGTGCAGTTACAACATTTTATGGCACCTCTTAGACAATGAACTGACTGTCCCATGTAAACAAAGTTGTTTTTTTTTGTTTTGTTTTTTAATACAATGAACACTTTATTCAGCTCCAGAGCCAAATAGAGCTGTATCAGTCCTACTCTTCAAACACTTTGACCTCCCTCCTTAAATTCCCATTCTGTTATTCTCTTTCCATTTAAAGAAAACTTGAAATGAAATTAAACGCCTTATTCAGCATTCTTTAGCCCAAAGATAAATGTAGGCAGATGGCAAATGCTAAAATCACACATTAAAAGCATCATCAGCACCTTAATACCTTGCTGTGATAATCTGCATGATCTGTTTAGGATTAGCGTGGTATGGATTCTCTGGGTCCTTGTTAATTAGTGAGAGCCACTCATCTAGAACATTCTACTTTTCTAGACTCCAGGCACCCCTAGAAGAATGTCAGCTCTTTGATTTCACTTCTTTTTAACTACGGAAAAATAACAGAGCAATTCTTCTATTGCACAGACCTCAAAGACCACAACAGGGCAGAATCCATAGTATCAGAAACATCCCAATTTGAAATCTACTCATCCTTGTGAATCGGGTGTAGGTGTTTGCACACCAATCGGTGGTAGTGTTTTATGTTGCCCCCCTGGCACCTTTAAAAGGTTCTTTGGGCACCACAGTTGAGAATCTCTGCTATACACAAGCAGCTTTCCTTCCTTCCTCTTACTTTACCACAATTGAGATTGTTATTCATAAAACAAGATGGAAACATGGAAGATCCATCATAATTCACTCTCTGTTGCCTGGCTTTTTTTTTTTAACTTTTCCAGTGAATATACATTTGTGGTCTCTGCTTTTTTTTTTTTTTTTTTCAATGGCCAGAAGAGGTCACTGTGTTCACCTCTTTTACAACAAAAGTCATAGATCTATCAAGGTTTTCCCATAACAACAGATTTTAAGCTTCTACTTGAGCTAGAACAACTCTTTGGCAGGTGTGCCACAAACTAACCCCCACACCCTTCCCAAGTGCCACTCCAGTCCCCTGGCCAATCTGCTGCTTTCTGCTCCCTGTTCCCTCCCCTGTCTGCCACGTGCTGTGTAGAGGCGGCCTGTGCCACTTGGGCACACATGCTACTGATTGGCTCCCACCGAACCAGGGCATCTCTCTGGGGTGGAAAAAAAAGTTCAGTCTTATTTTGAAAACTTCCAAATCAGCCCTGTCCTTAGGGAAGCTTGGTCAAAGGGTTGATTGCTCTCAATATTTCATCTGCATTTGACTCTAGTGTGAATGGCGAGCTTCAGCTTCCAGAGATTACATCTTGTCATGCCTTTTTGTCTTAAAATAAAAAGGAATCTATTATCTATTTTCCCCTTGTACTTATAGACCTTTGTAAACTTCCTGCTTGGTGATAAATAATGTTCCTTATCATAGTGCCTTTCTCACTGTGCCACTAAGAGTGGGATTCTTGGAATTACTCCACTTCAGCTGTATTTTTCTCCCTTGTAAGGTCAAACCAGATGATCACTTTTGAACCTCTGCCCTTAAGATCTGTCAGTGTAGGCTTCTCTGAACCCATTTTTCACATCAGATGCATAGTTTCCTCCAAAAATACCACATGCAAGATATTATCCCCTCCAAATCCCATTCAGTTTTGTCTTGAATGTTTGTGTTTTTGGATCAAACCATGGGTGTGGGACTGGGAGTGAGCAGCAAGGTAACCAAGACACTGCATTTCCCCCACAGGATTCTGACACCACCATACCGATCGACGAAACATTACAGTTTAACGAATCCCTCCAGAATGCCCATCGTGGCATGGATGATCTTATTGGCAGTGGGACCAGCATCCTGCGGGGGCTGAGGGACCAGAGAATGACACTAAAGGTGGGGGCATCCCTTTTGCCAAAAAGAGTCCAAATTTCTGCATTTATGATGATGAAGCCATTTTAATTAAACCTGAGAGCTTTACATCCTAGCACCCTGTAAGAAGTAACTTTAAAATATTTTTTGAACATGGGATGGACTAGTAGCTTGGGTAGAGCACTAGAAACTGGGATCCTGGGATATTATTCTGCAGCTGGGCTGTAGTGGTGTAGTGATTACTTTCTTATAGCCTGTCTAACCACCTGCTGTAAAGAGGGAGAACAAAATACTAGATTGTAATGGGCACTTCTGGTCATACTGCACAAGCACAACATCCCTTGTCAAATTTGTCTCTAATTGTAAGGGTTCAGAGTGGAATGGCGGAGATACTGCAGGTTACTATTGAAGAGTAGTGAAGTTATGAAGTGGTGCATAGTGTCCCTCCACCCAATGCCAGTGTTAACCTCCTGCTTTCACAGGCTTCACATCTTTCCTGGGTTGAGAATTTCTCTTATGTTTTCATGAATGTGCTTTTTATGTATTTTTCCTTAGAGTTTGCCTCACCATAACCATTGTAATGTCCAAGATGCTGCTTGTTACCATTTTAATATTCTGGTAGAGGTGGCCTCAGCCTTCTCCATGGATGTTAGAATGAATCTGGGGAAAGTCTGGACTACTTGACTTCCTATTTTTCAAGTTTAGATGGGTGCAAGAAGAGAACAAGTATCCCAAAACCAATAAGGTCCTAGCTTCTTATTCAAAGGATATACCTGTTTCTCTTACAGTAGTAACTGAACAACTTTCTTCTTCCCTGTAGCCTTTAACATGCTAATTTAAAAAGCCATGTAATGGGTTTCTTTTTTCCAAGAAAGGCAAAATTAAATGCTTCACTGAAGCATGCTTGTACTTTTTGGCAGTGCCATCACTTAGCAAAAGAGCATGGAGTTAGGATAGGCCTGCTAGAAACCAGCAGAATGCTAAATTTCAAAGTGCAGTGGTCCAGGGTTTTAATCCGAGTGCTGTGGGGAGGAATGGCAAAGCCTGATTAGGTCTCACCAGCTGAAGAGAGGAAGCTAATTTCAACAAATTGAGTAAATACCCATCCATATATCAATACCACCCATCCATACATAAATACCATGTGGGGCTCCTAGAGGTGCCAGGAGTTTGAAGGTAGGGCCTGACTCCAAATTACAGCGTATGCAGCCTCACAGGATGCATATTGTGAGGGCAGTGTAAGCAGTGGCTGTGTTAACCACTGTGCTGCCACCCCTCACCCTGCTATTGGAGATGGGTCTGGATTCAGTCCCCAGGGAGCCCTGTTGTCTGGATCTAGCCTAGGGGGCTGGGCAAATCTGGCACCCCTGTGCCTACAGTATTGTAAATCTGTTTACAGATTATGGGTGTAACATATGGTGCCCATTCAAACATGGCTAGATTGGTTACTCTCCAAAACTACTTCCACACTTGTTAATTAGCACCATTTATTCTCTTGAAAACAAAGGATTTAATTTGACCAGTGAGGCTTAACTGCCTAGGATGCCCCCCTACTGTTCAGAGTTGAAGTGTGATGGTAGGGTATTGTGGTGAGAATGTCATGCTGCTCTTCATGCTTTTCATATCCCAGTGCTAAACAACTTCAGTCTGAGTTCTTTCCTTTGAGCCAAGAGGTCTCTCTGAAGATCTCTGAAATGCTGATGTTCTACTAGGACCTGAAGAATAGTATATGCAACTAGATCCATTGTGATCACCAAAAGTGAAGGCCTATTCTTAGAACCCCTGATGCACAGTCTCCCTTGTTGTGCACATGTGGTTGCATCAGAAATTGGCCAACAGAAGCAGACACACCCAATATGTGAGCCAGTGATGTAGTATCCTATCCATCTACCTGCTGAGCAGTAGAGCTGTGTGAAGCTTTGGGCGCTGATTCGGTTCGGAGGATATTCGGCTCAATTTGGTGCCCGAATCTCCAAATCCGAATTGAATCAGGTGACCAATTAAAAGGTCCAAATCGATTTGAAGCGCCCCGAATCGATTTGGAAAAGATGCCGAGAGCTTTGGCGATTCGGGCAGTCCCCGCTGGCTGCAGCAGGGAGCTGGACCCAGACTTGGACCTGGTAAGTAGGAGGCGGGGGAGAGGGGACTGGAGGAGGGGACCATGGTGGGGGGGACCCCTGCCAGGCCCCATACCCGCCTAGCCCCAGCTCCTGGTTGCTTAAAAAAAAAAAAGCCCTGACTCATTGGCTTCTGCCAGGCTGGGGGGCGATCCCCGCTTCCCCGTCTTGCATGGGGGGCTCTGTCACGAACCCCCCCCCAGCCCCCCCTGCCTGCTCTTCCAGCCCCCCTCATGGCTGCCCCAGCTCTTAGCCCTTTAATAAACAAAAAAAACCCCACTGGAATCACCAGCTGCTGCAGCAGCTTCAGGGCTTTGGGGGTCTCGTGGAAGAGCCCCCCATGCAACATGGGGCAGTGGGGATTGCTGCCCTCCCCTCCACCCCACTGAGCAGGAGCTGGTGAGTTTGGGGTTTATTTTTTTAAAGGGTTGGGAGCTGGGGCGGGCGGCGAAGCCATGGGGCAGGCTAGGAGAGCAGGCTGGGGTTGGGGGCTTGTGACTGAACGTGGTGGGGGGCAGTCAGGGATCGTCCCCTGCCAGGCATGAGCCAGTGAGTGGGGGCTTTTTTTTCTTCTTTCTTTTTTCAAAAAGCCAGGAGCTGGGGCAGCCATTGAGAGTGGATGGGGGATAGGGCCTGTGTGATTCTCCCTGTCAGATTTGGATGAATCGATTTGGGACAGTGATTCAAATCGATTAATTGAACTGCTGTCCCCTGAATCGGCCGAATCCAAAGCGAAATACTAGCCGCTTTGCACAGATCTACTGACCAGTATCCAGCTGGGCTCCTCTGAACTTGTTTTGCACCAGTGCTTTTCTTCCCCCCCACCCCACCAATTCTACCTTGAAACAAAGGACTTTGCCCCCCTGCAAGGATCACTAAGGAGGCCATTTCTATTGCATCCTGGTTTCACAGCCTGCCAGGGGGACAAATTGATGGCCTTTTAATAGAGCTGTGAGCAGAGCTGTGTGTTTAGGGTTAGCAGACACCCTTTGCATTTGCCCCTTCAGCAGTGAGGCAGCTGCCCAGACTCAAGCCTGCCTCTTCAATGCCTAGTTACAGCACTTCTTTCTCTTCTAGAATCTCTTATTGAGGTTTTGGCTGTCTTTGCCTAGTGCCTTTTCATTTCTAAACACCCTGTCAAAAGTCACCAAGGCTATAAATCAAGCTCTTCCTGGCACTTCCTGGCCATCCATCAGTCTAGGAAGAGCCATCTAACTTTGAGGTCTTCCATGCGCTTATTATATTATGCATCTATAACACCACTCAAAAAAAACTCTGCTAATATCTGCTTAGTGCAGTGGATATTGTCTGGGCTTCTCTTCTTAGTGTCCTCTTCAGGTTCCCTTGTTTGGAGCCTTTGACTTCACTTCACTGCAGGTGTGGGCTTTTGTCTCATTCACTTGATTTGTACACCCCCACTTTAGTTGTGGGTATTGTTGGCTCAGTTCTCTCTGGCCACTTGGGGATCTTATGGTCACTTGTTTCTAGTGCTAAGATATCCTTAAAATATGAAACGAGAAGGGATAAATGATAGGCTAATGTTTTCTTTTCTCCTCGTCACTCAGGACACTCATAAGAAGATCTTAGACGTTGCCAACATGCTGGGCTTATCAAACACAGTGATGCGACTGATTGAGAAGAGGGCCTTCCAGGACAAATACTTCATGATTGGTGGAATGCTCTTGACCTGTGTGATCATGTTCCTTGTGGTCCAGTACCTGACATGAGTTGACAGTTCCAACAAAGGAAATCATCTTTTGGAACAAGACAGACCACCCTTCAGACTACTGCCTATTTTACTCTGAGTTTGTTTCTGTAGACAGCAGAATTTGCTAAGTGACAGTCAAGTCATACATGGATAAGTGAATAGAGGAACAAACATGGATTTGGGATGTTTATGACCCCATAACAATCTCTCCAGCCTTCAATGCTGTCACTATTGCCTGTATACTTAAGGATCTGGCTACTTAGGAGACATCATGTGTAGTGAATCTTTTGTCCAGTTCTAATACTAGATATGGTTGTGGTGCCCATCTTCTGAGGCTGAGGAAGATGTGGCATGGCTTTCCCATCCCTGTGCTGGTCACAAGTGTTCTTCATGTCTTTCTCATATGCAGAAGGCTGTCAAGAAGAGCAAATGCTACATGGATCTGCCCTGCAGAGCATGCATGCAGAAAGAGTGCTACAATGTAAGGTCTTGGGTTCCCCTATGAAAATTTGGTCCCTTTACACAAGAGGTGAAGTAGGAGGATGTCGTTATCACAGCATGAACGGTTACTAATTTTCTTATTTTGCAATAAGTGGATATAGCTCTTCCTGTCTTAGGCCAAGATGTTGCTATTTGTATGTGGAAATAGACTCCCAGACTCTTTGGTTTTTGGAAATGCCTTGGTCATTTCCAGGTTGAATTCTTCCCCATGGAAGTTGAGTGCTGGACTCTATAGTTTAGTAGAAGACTTTCCAGCATCTATTTTAACCTCTACTTTTCCTCTATTGCCACCCTGTGATAGCAACTTCTCTTACCCCCATGCTTTTGTTGGGAGATGAGACACTGTTGCTTCAGTGGAGCTGAATCTGTATATAGCCAACTGTTTCTGCATGTTCAGCCTTCAAAAGACTCTGTTTCCATTGCACAACATGCCCTGTCAAGTTATTTGTGTTCTGCTTGTAGCTACTACTGAGACAACAGTGGTTGGAGCTAAGGAGATGAATATATCACTGTTCCACTGCAGCTGCCTCATGATTTTCTGTTCAGGATTTTTTTTAAACACCTGTGGTCTTTTTGACATGCAGCTCAAATGAATCAAAGGGGTGTATGGTACTAGGGCAATGACAGTTTCCTGGGGTTACCTGTCAAGAATTAGAAATGTCTCTTTCATCCTTGGTAGCAAGGCTTACGCTTTGCACTCATCCTGTATCTTCTTCAGGTTCAGGAACATTCTTCATGATTTGCCAGTTGAGTTATAGAAAGCTAGGCACAGTGATGTTATAGAGGCAGAATTCTTCCCCTTTTTAAATGTTTGATGTAATAAAAGTGGCCTCTATTTTAACCCCAGTATTCTTTTATAGATTGCAAGACTTTTGTCTCTTAGTATAGTTGTGTCCAAACCTTGGGTGTAACCCACTTTAAATGGCCTTCATTGGCATCCTAATCCCCAACTTCATGTGCAAGTCTGGAGCATGTCCAGGTGTTTTGTAATAGTGGTGCTATAATGTACAGGTAATTTTGTAATGTGCTGGGAAACCATTTAACTTGATGTAACTGGTGAAATTGTATCTTATTCTTCAAAATACTGCTTTTCACCTACAAGTCCCACAACAGGGGATAGTCTTTTCTTTTTAATTGTATGGTGTAGAAGTGCATAGCCTGTTCCGAATTGGAAGTGGGATTTCTCCACCCCAAATTTAAGTCTAAATTGTCTGGGCAAGCAGACTGGATATATCAGTTTGTGCTAAAGCGCTGCAGCTAGACTGACTAATCTCAATATTGCTTCATAACTTCTAAGGTCAGAAGGGACCATTAGAGCATCTCGTGTAAACCTGTGTAATACAGAGCATTAAATTTCACCCACTTACTCCCAGGTGGAGCCCAGTAACTCAAGTTGACTAAAAATGTTGCGGTATTCAAACAAGACTGCTGTGTCAAAGGCCAAAAAAGAAGGCTGAGATGCTCCTATAATAGGGAACTGATAGGTGAGATGGATCTTGGTGATCCATGAACAGAGGGGCAAATTTACTCAGATGGAGCATTATTGGACATGCAAAAACTGATCGCATGCTCAACTGAGTGCTCTCTCTTGTACTTGTCCAACTGTGGATACAACTACCTTTGAAGTGTATAGAATAGCAGCAGCATTTATGATGGAAGCTAAGTCAAGAAGTGGAGAGGGATTCCTTTTTACTTTACTTTGAATCTGTTCCTTTGTATTTGGGACTGGAGTAGTAGCCCTGGAAATAAAGTCCTTGGAGATGGAATTCTCTTACCTCAGGTTGTTGAATTGCTCACTCATTTATTTTAACAGCCATCCCTCATTTAGTAGACCTCCCCTCTTTCAGGGGGCAAGAATCCTCCATTGAATCCTCATCCTGGTTGTGTTCTAATGCCTTTTTGGCAGAGTTAGGAGGAGATTCCTGTTGCAGGCTGGCAGTGCTGCTTTTAGATTCCCTAAGCAAGCTGGTTCCTGTTTTTAAAACATGTCAAGGTTGGTTGGTGTTGGGTTCTTTGTTTGTTTTTTAAATGGATCCTTGTTTATCTCTTTCCCTAGGTATGTACAGATATTGGTCAACCTGATTCACTCCTAGCCCTTCTTTTTCTGTAGCAGTCTGCAAGCTCTGGGGCTTGTTTTAGCAGTCACTAACAGAAGAGTAATTAGTAATGCCTCTTCTTTCCCACATTGGGCTTGAAAATTATCAAGCCAGCTTCCAAGTGATTTCTGTTGCTACATTTGTGGCAGTTTTCCCTTGCCATTAGCACAGAAGGTGACAAGCAAAATCTAAAATTACAGTAGCTGTTGGAGTATAGCCTCAGTTGAACCCCTTTGGAAAGCACCTGCTGAAAAGTTGTTCAGATCACTGAGTTCATTGGGATAAGTGAACTAGATGCTAGTTACTGTATCGAATACAAGTAGAGATACAATACTGTACTGAGTAAAAGGGAAGTACAAGCCTATTTTCCGTATGATGCACAATAGAGGATACACTGTACTAAAGCCATTCTTGTGAAGTTCCCCTTTCCTTGCTAGATATTCAAGCAGAACTGATGCTGTGCTTTTGGGTGAGCTCCGTAGACTTGCAGATGTTCTGGCTGTGAGATAAAGCCTTCTAATGAACCTTAATTACTCCTGATCAAAGTCCTGCTACAGTTCTTTCCTTCCTACTTACAGAGGGAAAAGGGGATCTGGTTATTCAGGCTGAGTGATGAGAGCATGAAGCCTGATGCCTAATAGCTCTAGGTATCTAGCCACTATTGCTATTTCTGGAGAGCAGCCTTCTGCATTCATTTGAATACTTATGTCTGCTTCTGCCTCAACCCTCAGGATAATGAAGGCTCTACACTGTGCGGCTGGTGGCTAGCATTTCAGTTGTTCTCTGGCCTCACAAGCGGAAGATTCTCTTCTGAGAAGACAAATACTACACTTCTTGAGAGTTAACCCAGATTTTTCCTCTGCTGATTATTTTGTTTACCAAGGAGGACAGTAATACCCTCTTTAGTAGAAAGCTGCCGCTGTTCTTTACTGAAGGGCTCAGAAATCTGCTTTCTCAGTGTAAAGGCAACCTTTGTCTGAAAAATCTGTGTTAACTCTCAAGAAGTGTAGTATTTGTCTTCTCGGAAGAGAATCTTCCACTTGTGAGGCCAGAGAACAACTGAAATGCTAGCCACCAGCCGCACAGTGTAGAGCCTGTATTATCCTGAGGGATGAGGCAGAAGCAGACACAAAAATATTCAAATGAATGCAGAAGGCTGCTCCCCAGAAATAACAATATGCTCCTGAGAGAGGATCCCCTACCCCACAAACAAAAACCCCTGACATCTATAGCAACAAGAGGGGGAAAATGCATTCCTGGAAAATGGGAATAACCAAATGCCTTCCACTCTGTTCTGTAATCTGGGGATAGCAAAACTATCCCACACATCACACTTCCTTTCTGTCATCGTTTCCCCTTCATAAACTTTTCTCAGCCCCCCTAATCTTTTATAACTAAGCAGGTGATAGACATACTTCACTCTCTAGCTGCTCAACACGATCTTTTCCAGTACCCAGCTGCTCTGGGTTGCAGAGCTTTTCTCATGATCTTCCAGCAAGAGGGGGAAAGTGCATTTGAGCTCCCAACTCTTGCTTTTCACAGCATACTCCCTGCATTGCTACTCCCAGTTCATCCCCTACTCTTATCCAACCTCTTTTTAAAAATCTACAGTAAGGGAGGTTCCGCGACTTCCCTGAAACATCTGTTCCACTGCCTTGCTGTTCTAATAATGAAGTGCTTCCTGGTATCCAATCTAAACCTACTTGGCTGCTATTTCAAGCTATTGCTACATGTTGTATTTTGTTTGCTGAGGTGGAGAAAAGTTGTTCTCCCTTTTCTTTGTGGCATTTTTTCACGTGTTTGAAGACTACAATCATGTCCCCTCAACCCCTTTTTCTGTAAGCTGAATATGCCTGTTTCTTTGAACCTTGCCTTCCAGGCCCTTTCTCATTTTTATCGCCTGCTTCTCCATGTCCTTTTTAAAATGTGGAGCCCCAAACTGCACCCAATACTCTCGATGAGGCCTAATCAGCACCGAGTAAAGAGGCACTCTCATCTCTCATGTTGTATACCCAATGCTCATAGAAATACTGCAGAAAACTGTATTACAGTGATGCACCTGCACAAAAAGGCTAACAGACTCATGAGACACCAGCTTACATTTGGTGCAGCTGAAATGGTTTTGACCTTCTGGGATGAACACAAACATGGTACATCCTACTTAAATTACAACTGCTGATCCAGCGTCCATTTGTGCCTCCTAACTTCCCTGGAGGATGCTTATGCTGTAGAAAAACAAACAACAAAAATGTGGGTGCACAAAGCCTCCTGCTGACTCCTCCCTATAGCAAATGCCCAGGCAAGTTCCATGTGAGCTTCTGTTAACAACATACAAACAGTCACAGCCCAGGCATGGATCACTCTCCTCTCCTCTTCCCGTAGAGCTGCAGAACCTTGAGGCTGGTAGTTTAAAGCCAGACTCTGGATAGTGGGGCATGGCTGGCTGTCCCAAATCCCCAGGGGAAGGTTGGACCAACCAACAGTGCCATACTGCACCCTGTGGCTGGGTCTGCTGTGAGGTAGGCTCATAAGGCCATCATAGCTGTGTTTGGGGCCAGGGCAAAACTGCTACCCAGCCAGGCCAGAAGCAGCCAAAGCAAGCCTTCAAAGCAGAGTCTTCTGCTGGTAGGCTTGCACCCTGGACCCCAAGCTACCCTGGGTCGCAAGTGAGGACAACACTCACTGCTACATCCCACATGGGGTTTTTTGAAGAACAAGTCCATCTTCCCAGCCAACAGTTGCCACAGAGCAAGCTGGGAAATTCCCTGATGGCACAGTGGAAAGCTTACTGTCCTCCAAGCGTGACAACCTAGGTTGAGCATTGCTGTAGTTTGGGCTGTGCCACAGCTACATTTTTTTACATTTTTAAATTTAATTTTTTAAAAGCCCCTACCCCTTAGGCTATAGCAGCTGGGATGCAGTGAGGGGAACTCACCTGCAGCTCTGGCTAGCCCCTAGGGCTGGGCTGTGGGCCTGCCAGTGGAAAGCTATGAGTTCAGGAACCTGCTCAGCTGGTTCTTGCCCACCAGAAGTGCTGGTATGGGCCTAGCTAAACCCCTGGACCCAAGTGGCGCTCCAACATGCTCCTGAGCCCTCCCAACAACCTGGCCAAGGGGTGCAAAGTGGCAGAGTCTGGCCACCCCGGGGGTTTGGGATCAGTGACCAGAGCCATTATCTTGGCCCTGGCTCCAGTGAGCTTGGAGAGTCAGTCACTGGGGAAAGAGGAGAGGACAGAGCCATGCCCCAGCTATGGCCTTTATTTGTTAATATTTAAAACAATTCCTTTCCTGTGGCAAAAATCAAAGAGCAAGCCGGGCAAGAGCTCCCCTGGTGACAAACATGCTGGCTTCCCAAGCACAAGTTGCTAGGTTTAAGTCCAAGCTCCAGCTGGGTTTGCATGGTTGGGCTGTGCCCAGCCACAATGGGTTTCCTTTAATATATATTTTTTGCTAAATTCTTTCTCCTCAGACTCTACCCAAGACAAAGTGCAACAGGAAGGCCTTCCCTGTCTGCAGCCATGGGTGGCCCAGCCTGAGCTAATGTCCTGCCAGCAGGAGGTCATAAGTTCAAGTTCCTGTTCAGCTGTTTCTTTCCATGGCTGGTGGCATTTTATTAATCAGGCTACATATATACTCCATACCCTGAACTTCATCTTTTCCAGACATCCATCAGCCACCCTCAATCCTATTCTTCCACTGAAAAACTGAAGATCCCATTGAAGATCTGCACTTTTGTTGAGACTGGGACTCCTTTCCTCTATAATACAATCTCACAATAGCTCTGTGGATTCCCATACGTGTACATCACTTTGTAGACTAGGCCATCCTTCTCTAAGTCAGTGTTTCTCAGACTTTTCTAGCCCAAGGCACACTTACATTAATAAAAATATTCTATGGCACACCTGTTAAGGCATTCCCCATCCTGATACTTATTGTAGCTCATTGCCATGGCAAAATTCCATGGCACACCTGTTCATTTCTGATGGCACACCATTGTGCCATGGCACACTGGTTGGGAAACACTGATCTAAGTCCATCACTACTCTTCTCTGAGGTTGAACTGCATGCATTACCAGTTCCTTCCTTTTGAAGGTAAAAAAGTAACCACTGTCTTCAAAATCCCCCCAAACAGATCAACATGACCGACCATGCCTCCAAAAATGTGTCACATAAGCACATTCAGCTTCTGTCTGTAACTGTGTCTTGCAAAAATAAATAATTATGACTTTCAGTCCATGCAACAGCATCATTTTCTATTGTCTGGTTCAATAACAAACTATAAACATTAAGGGAGGACACCACCACTGGCTCCTTCCTACTTCCTGAAGCATTATCAGTCCTAGACCTACAGCCCTTAATGACTGCTTTTTAAAAATAACTTAAAGGACATAGGTAGGACATTGTAAGTAATTTACCCATCCTTTAGTCCTATTCCTTTTAGGTGCCTGTAAAGAAAAGCATGCATCTTTTCTTGAACAAATTGCTGACAAATTTGCAGGCTCACAGGTTAATCAGCATTATATTACGTGTGCTGAAGCCCATGTACTGTACACAAAGCTATAGCCTGTTGTACAATCACAAGTCTTCCGTTTTAACTCTCCATGGCATCACTCAGCCCTAGCAAATAAAACTTAAATTCTGCAGGGTCTGGATTGGCTTTTTTAAACATGTGAAGTCATAAATT